TGTTACCAATTCTGTTATTGGCTTTGACGTCATGCTTTGAATTCTTATCCTATTCCAGTCTCTAACAGAATTCTCCTTTTTCTTCTCACTCCCTTCCAGATTCTCCATTTCTCACTTCCTTTTTAATTATTTGCTCTGTTTTCAAAAAAAGGTTGCTCCTTTCATTGATTTTCCCGGGAAAGTGAGAGAAAATTGCTGTTATAAGCTCTCAAAAGTTAAAAGGGTTTATCATGTCTAAGATTTCACTCAAATAGTCTCTCTTTTTCAATCTCGATTCTGTAGTTATATGGATTTAGCGTTGGGGAAAAAGGGTTTTGATTTTGCTCTGAGGAACAAAAAGTGGATTTTACTAGCAGCAAGTGCTTATGTTTCTTTTAGGGTTTATCATTCTCCTTCAATTACCCAGAAAAGAAAACGAATCTCTAAGCTTTTTACTCTTCTTCTCAATCTCATCGAAGCAGCTTCTGATTCCGCCGAATCGGTTAGTGTAATCACTAAAGATCTGACGCAATTTCTCAGATCCGATTCCGATCAAATCCCAAACAGCTTCAAGCAGATTTCCAAAATCACCAAATCAGACGAGCTCAATTCGTCGTTAATCCGATTCACACAAGCCGTAACCGTCGGTTTACTCCGTGGGTACCGATTAGATTCCGGTAACGACGATGAATCCGGGTCGGGTTTTACAGATCGGGTCATGGATAAGCTCTTCACGAAATCCGGGTCGGGTTTTGCTTCGGCGATTGTTGGTAGCTTCGCTAGAAACTTAGTCGTCGGTTACTATTCCTCCTCTTCCTCTGTCTCCGGTGAATCTCCGGTCTCGTCTAAATTACTCGACGCGGTTTGCTCCGATGACGGTAGAAAACTAATCTGCGATTGCGTTCAGCGTTTCGTTACCACTGCGGTTTCGGTTTATCTCGATAAGACGGTAGACGTCAACGTTTTCGACGATTTATTCGCCGGTTTAACCAATCCGAAACACGAACATAAAGTTAAGCAAACGCTCGTAACGCTGTGTAACGGTGCGGTTGAAACGTTTGTGAGAGCGTCTCGAAGACAGACCGGTACAGAACCGGAGTTAAACCGATCAGGATCATCGTGTTCAGATGATTCAAGGCTGACGACCGTTGGATCGACGAAACCGGCTTGGATCGATCGGGTATCGTCGTCGTTGTTGGTACCGAGTAACCGGAAATACGTGGTGGATTTAACCGGGAGAGTAACGTTTGAGACGGTACGATCGTTGTTAGAAGTGTTGATTGAGAGAGCAAATGGTAAAGTGGAGAGTTATGTGGAGAAAGTGAGAGAGAGAGGAAACGAGACAAGGAGATTTGTGAGAGTGAAAACATCAATTCTACATAGTTTATGTTTGTCTTTGTGTTTACAGATTGTTGAAGCTCCATGGATGCTGACTCCAAGAAACTGATCATCATCACTCATCAGGCTAAAAGACAAGAAACACTTTTGGTAATATTCTTGGATTCAATCAAAATTCGTTGTAAAATTGGTTTTGTTTTTGTTTTATTTGAGAAGATATTGGAAAGATGATTTTTTTTTTACTTTGGATAGAAAGAAAGAAAATGAGTCTGTATGGGTTGGTTTGAATGTTTTGGATAATTGGATAATGATAAGTGTGGGTCAATATATGGTTACACTTATTATTTTCATTTATTTATCGTCGCTTTGTGTATTGTTTCTTGTGGATAATATGGTATTGGATATAGTTGCTGAGTAAATGAGACAAAGGTCCATATGAACTTTTGTGAGAAAAAAAGTCAAATAAAGAAGTTTCTTGTTATCCAGAAAACAACACACAATCTTGGACGTTGATCATCTAACTCTAGCCTCATACTTGATATATATACTTTTCTCAAATCATGTGTTGCAACATCTAATATGTAAAGTAAACCGCGACATTTCGAGTGATAATTTTCATAAATGACAATATCTGGTTGCAAGAACCGCGGCGTACAGCCGAAACAATGTTAGAAGCCCGAAATCAACAAGCCTAAAGACTTTAGTTTGAACTCTTTTGTGTACTGAAGCTGCTTCTTCTTGATGGTTCCTTTACTTTGATCCTCAAGATAAAACCTGAAAATCCTCTTATCTGAAACCACTCCAATTTTCTCTATAACAAAGAATAATCAGTCCATGATTCTAAAAGCAGCCTTTTGTTTTTAGATGGAATAGTTCGAGGGGATAATCTCATGTAACATTTGGGGTTTAAGTAAATACACACTTGTTTTTATTAACCAGAAACTTCTTTAGTTTGACACCAAATTTGATAATAATTATAAGCATAAATCACCCTTGTCCAAATGTAGCACCTACAACCCAAATTAGGGCTTTACTTGAAACCACGTCAACTGTACATAATCTCATAATAATGCCAATTTTACCATTCAAAACTTTCTCTGTAACAGAAGATATCCTAATAGATCTTAAGGGCTAGATACTTCAGGTTTCGGATAATACCGATCTGAACCAAAACCCGTACTAGTGCCAAAAACCCGAAGTTGATTAAACCCATTAATTTTTATTGACATAAATTCGGATAATTTGGGTACTTTCAAGTACT